AAAAAAAAAAAAAAAGAATACCAATTTCAAATGTCCAGGTTTTTCCAGTTCTACTTACTTACTGGTCAAAAACATAATGATTCTTTTTTGTTGTTGTTGTTTAAACCTAATGGTTCTGCTTCTGATTAAAACCTTAAAACCATAAAGCTGTAGATGTATGAAAAAGTTATACAAAATAAAACATCACAGCAGAGGGAAGTTTCCAGGGTTTGTTTTTAGCTAGGTTTCCTTTAAACACCACAGCCATGTGGACTCATCCTCCACAGCAGGCTCATAGGCCACTGATAATTCTGGTTATGCTGAAGTTTTAGTGTCTCAGGACAAAGGGAAGGGTTAAAAGAAGGGATGAGATGATCCCTCAAGAACAAATAACTGACTCCAATTGTCAGAAAAATAGACTGTTGGAGGAGGTCTGGAGTTATAGAACAGGTTTTTTTCTAAACCTGAATGCACACAGAAATGTATGATAATAACAAAGTAAGTCATTTTTATGTCATTTATTTATTTATTTATTTAGTACAGGGTCTGACTGTAGCTTGGACTCTTAGTGATCCTCCTGTGTCAGCTTCCCCAGCGCTGGGATTACAGGTGTGCACCACCACACCCAGACTCGGTGGCCAGCTTAGCCCGCCCAGGGGGTGGGGCTGGCATGGCATGTGGTGCCAGGGATTGAACCATAGTGCCTGCACTTGCATAAGATTACCTAAACAGGGTCGGGGAGATGGCTCAGTAGAATAAGCGCTTGCCTGGCAAGCGCAAGGGCCTGAGTTCAATCCCCAGTTCTGCAAAAAAAAAAAAAAAAAAAGATTACCTAAACAGGTGCTTTAGTCTGCTGAGCTATCTTACCGGCCCCTTTGCTATAAATTTCTGATTTCTACTTTTCTCAGAGTTCACGACAAGATACAGAGATAGGATATAAAATATGAAATAAGATCATTGTATTTTCTTTCTTTCTTTCTTTCTTTTTTTTTTATTTTAGGGAAGGGTCTACAGGGTGTTCAGGATCTCACTACTAGATCAGACTTATAGTGATCTGCCTGTTTACAGCCTCCCAAGAGCTGGGATTACAGGCTTGGCCACCATGCCCAGTCTCAATTGCCATCTCAGTGTGTCCGTGGGTGGGGCCGGCATGGCAGGCCGGGGGGATAGAACTCCCGGCTCTTGCACCTGCTTGCAGACACTTTAATCCTCTGAGCTATTTGGCCGGAATCCAACACAGTAGTATTGGAGTACAGGAAAGAATGCGATAGTCTCTGAAGCAAGAAGAAAATTTGAATAAGCATAGAATTTTAAGAAACGTAAAGTAAAACTTTTAGTAATAGTAGAGTGATTTTTGCTTCAAATAGAGCGGACTTCCCCCAGTCTTTCTGAAGCTTTATCAGAATACCTTCCACTTCAGGAGTCAAGGCCAAGTCAGGTCCCAAGTAATGGTTGAGGCCAGCGGGCAGAATCAGGTTTGTTATTTTAACAGGAGGCGCCTTCACTTGGCAGAGTGAGGCACCATCCACAGGACAGCTGGTAACAGGGATCAACTGCACCAAAAACAGAGAATTTTGTGGCAAAATCTCAGATCAACAGGTTTCGACTCATCATAAGGTCCACTTGCAAACTAACTTAGAATTTCTAAAATCATCCTGGTTGCGTATTTGTCTAAACTCAGAATCGCTAAAAGTGTCGAGAGCATTTGGGTGGTCACATCCCTCACGGCCTTCTGGTCCATTTTTCCAGGCTGTACTGTACTCGTCAAGAGGAACCTGGCATGAAGGCACCATCCCTTTCCAGAGCGTCTTACTAACTACAGAATGAAGAAAATGAGAAGTAAGACTTTTCTATTTCATAATATTTTTTTTCTTTTTCTAGGAATAAGAATTTCTGGCAGGTGAGAATTGTTTCTCCTCTATCTTGGTACCCATTTTAATGAATGTGATGAACACTCTACACACTATTTACCTTTTAAGTCTGTTGACTATTAAGAGTCTTTTAAAAGAATTTCAGGACTCAGCAAATGGAGGGGAAAAAATCCTTCAGCCAGGGACTCTTGACTTCCCTAGGAGTCTACGCCTGCTCTGTTTTCATTTAGATGGTGACCTTGCTTAGACTTCTAAAGCTATGAATTCTGGAGGCATGACTCAACTCGTCAGAGACAGGTTGGCCACTTTTGTAAAGTCATGAATTTGCTTCATACCTCAGTGTCGCCAGCAACGAAGCCAGCGCCAAGACACTTGGCCCTTCACAAGCGTTGCCCAGTCCCCAGTCCCTCACTTTGTGGGACCTTCTTCCCATCACTGATACAGAATGCTCTAAAACTATACCAACATGTTTTGGTCAAAAAAAATTGTTAGAGCTTTATTTATTTCCCCCTATTTTGCTGTTAATAAAGAAAGCATAGCAACAAGGGAAATAAAGACACATTAGACTGAGCTGACAAACCTGAAAGGTTCTCTTGTTTTTGTATCTTCTGCACAGCTAAAAGAAATAATGACGCAGGGGCTGGGGAGATAGCTCGGTGGTCTGAGCGCCTGCCTGGCAAGCACAAGGACCTGGGTTTGATCCTCAGCACTGGTTCTGGAGCCCCAGGCACACTGAGCTAGCCGCGAAACCAGGCGTGGTGGCTCATGTCTGTAATCACAGCAGCGGGGAGGCTGAGACAGGAGGACCACTATGAGTCTGAGCTGCACAGTGAGATCCTGTACCAAATAAATTAATAATGTTTTAAAGATTAAAAAGAAATAATGACACAATTTTGTTCTAGCCACGAAAATAAAAATTATTGCTGAATCGTAAAATATGTTTCTCTAAAAGAAAGACTTCAAATATCCCCTTTAATTCATTAAGGGGACAATTTCATTTTAACTTAAGTTAAAATGAAATTTAATGAAATGGCTACATATAGAACAAGGGGAAAGAGTTTAATTCTTTTACATAGCACTAATTCAAATGGCAAGAATATGGATCCAGGGTAACTCAAGATGACACTATAAGGGAGTAAAAAGAGAATCTGGGAGCACTATTTGATAATCAGGAAAACAGGTAGCAAACAAACCTTTCCATGAAATATTTATCCTCAAGTAATAATTTGAATTCACATACTTTTCCTGTTAAATTAAACCAATTTAAAAATTACATATGGACATTGAGGTCTTTATAGCAAGTCTAAATGATTATTAAAAGTTTACCAACATTACTTGAAAGTAGAATTTATGCATGTCAATGTGCTAATACTTCATGCTCTTCTCTCAATGTAGCCCGCACATATGGTAGGAAGAGTGATCTCCCTTCCCTGGAGCGTCCTATTTTCTGAAGGAAGACCCACTAGCAAGCGTGACTGACTGAAGTCCCGGCGATGAGAGGATTGCTCAGGACTGTCCAGGTGGACGGAGACCAAGGGTGGCCCCAGCTGAGGAGGGGTGGTAATGGCCGCACGGGTCTCCGTGGTGTCCTGGCTGGGCGAGGGCTGAACAAGGGCTGCAGACAGCCTGGAGGCGGCGGGCATGGCAGTCCCTTGTCCTCTGCAGCTTCCGGGGAGCGCAGCCAGCCCAGCCAAAGCTTTGGATTTCAGCCCTCGAGCACCCACTTTCAGATTGCTGACCCTAGAACTGAGATAAGCAATCTGTGTTACCTTCAGCTAATAAATCTGTGATAAATCAGGGGCAACGAGACTAACTTGCAGAGCAGAAGATTCTCAAGGGCGACTTGCTGCCAGAATGTAAGATGCAAAAATAAAAAAAGGGTTATACCACTGAACTAAATTTTATTTGGTCATTTGTTCTCCTTTGATGACTGAAACCTATGACAAAATCTTGTGCAGACTGCATCAGATAGTACTCTTTATTCGTTATAGTGTACAGAACGTGGCTAGGTTTTTTCCTCCACTGGTACAGATTTTAGAAAAATTTTTGTAGATACGCAGAAAGAAATTTCCTTTGCCTAAACTAATTTTTTTTTTTTTTTTTTTTTTTTTTTGCGGAACCGGGGATTGAACTCAGGCCCTTGCGCTTGCCAGGGAAACGCATATTCCACTGAGCCATCTCCCCAGCCCCACCTAAACTAATTTTTAAAAAAGATATTTTATTTATTTGTTATAGGGTCTTGCTATGCAGCTCAGACTCACAGTGATCCCCCTGTCTCAGCTGCCCCATTGCTGGGATTACAGGTGTGTGCCGCCATACCCAGGTCCTTGCACTTGTCAGGCAGACACTTAAACTGCTGAGCTATTTCCTTAGCTCAGTAATTTTTATTAACATTGGACAAGTTTAAGTCTCACAGTTCTGTATTTCTCCTTTGACCTGTAATACATGCTGGTTAGTTCAAAGTCAAGATTAATAGAAACCATTAAGAGTTACAAATGCAATATTTTTCAAAAGATTAAAGTACTTATATATAAGTACAAATATTCAACTTTTTTTGCAGTGGGACTGAGGTTCTTACAGGCACTAGGTGAGTGCTCTGGTGTCCCGCACCTCTCAGGTTAGTCTTCTGGTGCAGGCCAAAACCTCTTCTGTAAGCAAGTGACCTGTGATTGATAGGCTGTTCCTGGAGAAATCCTTTGTTTAAGTTTAGTCTATAATTCTACTTTTGGTTTCTTTGAAATAGCAAGAACTTTAAAATGTGTAGAACATAAGAATTTGTCTAGAGTTTGAAAAATCTCCTAAATATTTTCTCTGGATTTTTATCAGTTTCCCTCATCTTGCAGGTTTTTTTTCTCTCCCATCCTAATTCAATGGTGTGTGTATGTGTGTGTGTGTGTGTGTGTGTGTGTGTGTGTGTGTGTGTGATTGCTCTTTATCTAGACTTTCCTAAATATTCAACTTGGTCTTAAGAGAAACAATAATTTATACTTTACACATATAGTTTGTCTATAAGAACTAGCATAGGTGGGGCTGAGGAGATGGCTCAGTAGAATAAGGGCTTCCCTGGCAAGCACAAGGGTCTGAGTTCAATCCCTGGTTCCACAAAAAACAAAACAAAACAAAAAAACTGATTAAAAAAAAAAGAACTAGCATAGGGCTTTTTTTTTTTTTTTTTTAAATCTTTTTGAGACAGGGCCTCCCCATAGATTTCAGCCTGGCCTTGGGCTCACTGTGTAGCCCAGGCTGGTCTTAAACTCACAATGATCCTCCTGCCTCAGCCTCCCCAGGGCTGGGATTATACATGTGCACCACCACGCCCAGTTAGCATAACAGGTTTTTAGAATTCATCACCAACTCTTAGTAAGTATGCACATTCACTGCTGAAGAGAGAAGCGGCCTAGGGAGGAGCCCACTGGTATGAAAACGTCCATGTGTTTGGAAGTCCGTGTGCATGGAGGAATGGAGACAGGCAGTTGTACACCATGGCGGCTGAGGTGAGAGCTCATTAGGACAGCACCCCAGGGGGTCCTTCTCAGCGCTTTGTCTACGTGTGTAAGCAGGAGGGGAGGATCACTGTACTGTGGATTTCTGCTGATATATGGGAAGGAGCAGTTAATACTTAATTTTTGGTCTTTTTTCCTTTTTCTTAATTTGTTATAACTTTTTTCTTTTTCCAATTTTGTGTGCATATATCTGGTAATCTGAACAACTAATTTGAAGACAACACTCTGCAATACAACAAGTACTGTAGAATTCACATTATTGTGTTTACTGAAATTCTGTATCATTTGTAATTTTTTATTACTATTTTATATTTTTTTAAACAACAAAAGCAAAAAACAAAGGTGTCCTTTCTCTTTCCTCTTCCAGTTTCTTTTTTTTTAAAATTTTATTCAGAAACAAATAGCAATGAGACAGCTTAGTAGGACAGTTACAATAATTAATACATTGCATATTGTTGTCTTTGTAGTAGTTATTCATAGTACAAGATGCAGACATGGTATCCTGTCAAAATACTACTAGTACAAATCTTTCTTCTCATTAAATTAAGAGAAAGTAGCTGTAAATCTATCCTAACTATCACATATATATGTTTACTACAAAAAAGTCCTTCATTTATAGCCTCCTTTTTTGTTCAGCTTTGTGAGAGATGGATATTTGATTGCCATTCAAATATTGTAGGTGCATGAATTCAGCAAAATAATCCAATGAAGTCCAGTAGTCCATAACAGTAGTGGGTTATCCAAAGGACTGGCAATGTCAGAAGTTGTTGCCTTGAGCCTTTTATAGCTCAGCATATTAATATGGCTTTACTTTTTATATCTCGTTTTTATACCTTTCTGCTGGATGATTAGGAAGAAGTATCATTTGCAAATGATATGATACTTTACTTCGAAGACCCAAAAAACTCCACCAAGAAGCTACTAGAATTAATACACAAATTCAGTAGCATAACAGGATACAAAGGCAGTACCCAGTTCATTTCTAAAAGCAATTATCCTTCTCTGAGTCTAACATCTCTGGCTTCACTTACATCAGAGGCTGCTTCCGGGCTGGATTATTCCTAACATCTCAGCTGGCTGAGGTGGGAGCTCATGGTAGAGCACTGACTTGCTGAGCATCTTCGAGGCTCTCGGTTTGATCCCCAGAAATGCAAGAAAATTAAGCCCCACAGGGTTTCCCTGCCTCCTTCAGACCCTCCCTCCAATCCAGCAAAGGCTCATCTCTAATCTTCTTACCTCCCTGATTTAAAACCATGCATTCTGGGTTAAATTTTGTCTTTGAGGATGCTTGTGAAGAAACTGGTGGAAACTTCACATCGATATTTGGGTTTCTTTTATGTCTAATTTCTTTCTGACATGGTCTGATCCACTTTAGGGCTCACGGGGAGAAGGCCCCATTACCCTGCCAGTGGATGAGAGCGCAGGCACCAAGTTCCCTTGAGCTACAGTCCACAGAGTTGGGGTAAGAACTCCTTCCTTTTCTTCTTCTCTGCCTAAATGGAAACAATTTCACTGTTTCTATTTATGAAAGGATGGCCATATAGGCTTTAAATAATTTATCTTAAGCAAAGCACAAAATGAGCAAACAGATATTGAATAGCTTATCTTCTGTCTAAAATATTATTAGAGGGGCTGCAGAGATAGCTCAGTAGAATAAGCACTTCC